TACATACATACATACATACATACATACATACATACATACATACATACATACATACATACATATTATAAACAATCCTCCTTCCCAAATACGCTCTGTTTAAAATTGTCTCCCTGTTTCTTGTTTTACAGATTAAGGAAAAACATTCTGGAATTATGCTTGGGGTATACTTCCAGGATGCAGCAATAGGATCCTAGGAGATGAACCTTGTCAAGGAAACACAAGTCAGCTATCTAACTTGAGAACTGCAGAAGCATCCATGCCTGACAAAGAAATGACAGAAAAGCCAACAGTGCACACGTTTCTTCTGCTACTCTGAGTTTAGCTGTGCTCCCTTCCACTTTCTTTCCATTTCTTTCTTTAGGGGACATGGATGCAGATGGCCTAGGGTTCAAACCAGAGATATCTCTTGCTCATGGGAGCAATGGGCAACTTGCCCAGCCTGTGTAAGCAGTGCAGGTGCTTGCACTTTCCCTGATCAATGAAAGCAAGAGAAAACAACCCAGCCTCTTTCCAGCCAGCTGCCTGCATTCCCCTAATGAATGAAACCCTGCGCAAATAGCCCATTCTGTTTAGCACAGGTGCCCAGCATTCCTTCCACCCAGGGAATTAAGGGCCAGTGACCAAGTTTACTCAATGCACATGCCTGCCTTGGTTTGGGTAATGGAAACAAAGACTCACAGACCAGCTTATTCAGTTCAAGATCACACCAATTCACTGTTGATTAAAAAAAAAAGACAGTATATTTAAACATGAATTCAAAACTTCTAAATGACTTTATTTGTGACTGTTTCATTTCACTGAAGTCCAATATTCTGAGGTCCAAAGATTTGAATCTGTTAGTTGACTGCTGAATAGGGTGTTTCTGCATAACATCTTTTTCTTTTGATGCTGGTGGTGAATCTAGAGGTCACATGAGTGGCAATATATCTCCTGTTCAGAAGACAAGTCCCTGAATGGACAAACCTGCTCTGAAGGCATCCTCTGTTGGAATGATGTCCAGGTTAAAAACAATCTATCTTTAAAATAATTTTAAGGGGCAAAGATATTGACGATGCACAACAAAGGCAACACCTGGACATTACCTCAAGAAGGGATTTTTTCCCAAGTATTTTTGTTTTCTGTCATGCCTTTAAGTACAATGCATACCTGTTATTAGCAGATAGATATCTTTCACTGCGGGGTGGCTCAGTGGCTAAGACGCTGAGCTTATCGATCAGAAAGGTCGGCAGTTCATTGGTTCAATTCCCTAGTGCCACATAATGGAGTGAGCTCCTGCTACTTGTCCCAGCTTCTGCCAGCCTAGCAGTTCGAAAGCATGTAAAAATGCAAGTAGAAAAATAGGGACCACCTTTGGTGGGAAGGAAACAGCATTCTGTATGCTTTCGGCATTTAGTCATGCCGGCCACATGACCACGGAGATGTCTTCATACAGCTCTGGCTCTTTGGCTTTGAAACGGAGATGATCACCACCCTCTAGAGTCAGGAACTACTAGCACATATGTGGGAGGGGAACCTTCACCTTTATCTATCACTGTATATTTGTCCACTGGCATCAAGCCATCCTGTCTTCATATAAACTCTTACATTCCACCAATCCTATTTCCATCTGGCTTGCACACTTGACTGGTTTTCTTTTTGACAGCAGCCGGAGCACCAGTGCTTCATTCATCTTTCTTCTCATCTTATTTCAATAATTTACAAGAAGGAAATGGAGGGAAAATAAGCACAGAAGGGATGAGGTGAGACCAGCAAATCTTCATCTTGATCTCCTGACCTTCCTGCCATTTCTTATATACCACTTTCTTTCCTTATCATAGCCACAGGCATCCAGTATAAACTGGGAAGATGAAAAAAATAGGGAAGCATCCATTGCCACATGGCAATGCAAACCAACCATTCATATTTGCATCTGCACATTTTGTCATTCACCCCTCGGCCTCCTGTGAATACCTCACAGCTTACCAGGAAACACACGTCCAAGAGCTTTGACTGGTGGCATTTACTAGAAGGAAGGTTAAGGATACAACAAAAGAATTCCATCAAGCACCTTATTGTTGAAAGAGACAGAGTCACTCACTCAAATTCTCACACACATACACGGTGGAAAGCAACGTCTTTTGCTAAAGGGGAGGGGACCATGCAGCTGTTGACTGTTTTTGCAACTGCTGGTCTTATCAGGCTGAGAATTAACTCTCACATCAGTTTTAGCAGCAACTTTATCCTCTCTAATAGCAAAGTTGGCCTTATTCCAATGAGATCTTCCTTTCGTTTTTTTACAGTTCAGTCTTCTGTATCAAAGTGGGGCTTGCTGATTTATTTGTGGCATCTTCCTGAAAGAGAACCAACCTTCGTTGAAAGCAAAAAAAACATGCCGAATGTTTCTGGCTGGAAAGGAGCAGTGGTCAACTGTAAAAATGAGTCCTGAAAGGAAAGGCAGGAATGTCAGTGACTCATAACAACCAGAGGCATTGGGTGAGCGCCCAGGGGAATACCATTCAAGGCAGACTAATTTGCTATTATTTGGTTTCTCAGCCTGCTCACTTATAATGTGCATGGCCACTTTTGGTTTTGTGATTTCTCGTGTTTGAGGCAGCTAGACTCACCACATCTTAACTTTCCCTCACCTATTGTTATATGTGGACTTC